ATTTTATATTTATAATATTATAATATTATATATTTATGTTATATTTATCATAAATTATGATATAAATAAAAATCTTAATCTACATGCCAGGATTTTTTAGTTAAACGAATTATTAAATTTAAAAAAGGATTTTTTAGTTAAACGAATTATAAAATTAAAGATATTAATTACATCTAAAATAAATTATCTTTTTGTACATGAGATATATAATATGCTAGTAATGTATAAAACATAATATATACTACAGAATTAATTGTAATGAAAAATTGTATTAATTAGATTTTTTATTCGGGATTATATAGGAACAAGAGAAGGAAAAATAAAATTTTTCAGATTTCACATTGTCTTCAGATAAATATTCTCACATTGATAAAAACAATCAGAAAAATTGTTTGATCATGAAATAGTATTAATCTGCATTCTAGACAATTAGTATATTTTCTAATGACAAATTGTCAAATTTTGCTAATACACTGTACATTATTGTAACTTGAAACAAATTAAGTCTTATAATTAGTTTAAAAGATTGATTATTTATTGAAATCTCCATTTGGAAGTTTCAAAAAAATTGAAGAAATATGAAGCCATTTAATATTTATGTATTTATTAGTTTTAATTATTTCCCGTCACCATATAATAACAAAAGCCATATATTATTTAACTTTTCCAAAGCGACAAATAATTTCTGGATTTTTGTTATTTTGCTTGTGTAATTGCTGATTCAGTCCTTTTCTTCCTCTGCCACACTTCATTTTCGATGCTTAAATTAATTAAATAATTATTGATAAAAAATTTCAAAATTATTATATAAAACTCAATAATTTGTAACATGTTTCAAACATCTCAATCTCATATATATATACACATATGTATATTCTAATAAATTCTAATATTTTTTAAGTATTAAATTATATTAATTAGCAAATTAAATATTTTTTTCCACGATCTGATTTCGTAAAACTTACTCGTCGCTACCATCTTTTGAATATCCAGCTAATGTTCGCCACAGTTCTTTTGGACCTTCGATTGCTAGAGGAAAGTTCTGCCAGGACCATTCTTCAACTGACAAGAAAAAATAAGGCGTAGGATTATTCAATTAGATATAATACGAAGAAATATATCAATGAAATTGCTAACCTTTTGAAGGATAATCTATGCGCCTTTTAGTTAAATCGGAGTAAGTTTCTTGTTCGTCTTGCAGCAATAGAGGGTTGGTTGACTTAAAAAATACAATTTAAGTATTATTTAGTATAATTATATAATAATTATTATATAATAATTTATATAATAATTTTATTATTATATAATAATTATAACGTATATGATATCTCAAAAATATACAATAATACAAATATATATAATAATACAGAAAAGATTGCAATAATTAGGTCCAGATAATTAGATACCTGTTTGTGCTGATTGCTTCTACCAATTCGGGGTATATGCTTTTCAGCTTTATAAAAGAAATCTTCAAATCTTCCGCTTCGACCTACTCTCGGCAAAGTTGGTATTTTGGCGATTTTCAAAAAGAATGCTGGCACTTCTTCCGCAATTGTAGTATTTTCACATATTAATAACATGACGGCTCCAATGAGAAAAGCTGAATATTCATTGCACAAAAAATAATATTGAATATTTTAATATTTAAATAAATAAGGCATTATTCTTTAGATATATTATAATTAGACAAAGAGTAAACATATATATGTCATCTTTGCAAATTTATACAACATATAAAGATATTTAATTTACCATTAAAAAAGACACCTCCGATCCATCGAGCACACACCCTCTGCAGCATCATTTTGAGAAAGTAACAGTTCAGTGCCTGTAATGAATCAAACGCAGTTCAGTCTTCAAGAGCAACTTCACCCTTTGCACATCACATCGATTACACGCCTTACAATCAGACGCAACAATTAATTTAACAGGTGAACGTGTTTCAATTGACGTGGCATTCTCGATCACGGTCAACACATAAATGACTGCCATAGAAATCTGCCGATTCTCGCGGAAAGGATGCGCATCTCGCGGGCATTCGGCGAACACTGAACGATTTTTCGCGTACATACGGCTTCTTCCATTATCGCGAAGAGTGGACCGGAGTACTCAAGGATTGTGGGCGAAGGAGAATCGAGAAGTTTGCACGTCGTGAAACCTCATCGTATTTGAATCACGCTGACTGTTTGTCCTCGTTCGCGTAACGCGCATAGAAATATTCAACTGCGCACCCGTGCGAGTAAAATGCATTCTATAGAACTGATGCCTCGTAGGATGTTACGGGAAATGTTTGATGCTATGCAATTGCATGAATAGAAGTAAATAAAGATTTTCCGTAATCGCCAACGCGCCATTGAACGTCTTCAGTGAGAAAGTATTTTGTATGTAGATATTTAATTTTTTCGCATAATAGAAAGCAACTGAAAATTAATCTATGGAATAATCTTGATCTTAAAAATAATTTTTTAAATAATTGTTATTTCAGATAGTTAATTAAACATATATAATAATAGCTATTTTAATTGCAAGCGCTACGAATAAAAATATCTATTTTAACTGTTAAACGATTTGCTTCAAAATTCTGTAAAGAGCACATATTATATATTCAGAGATATGATATTTGCTCTTCTTTTTGAGAATCATAAGAAAGATATTGGTTATTCTAATTTAATATCACTATAGAGATATAATGATAAGAACTGTAGATTTTTTTGTAAAAATCGAAATTTAATAGAAAGATAGATTCATAACGAACGAGCATAGTAACGAATAATATTTCCTTACCTGAAGATAAACTGAATGCAATGAACTTAATTCCATTAACCCAGCGTATTTATACTTGATTAAAGAGTAATTAAATATTTAGTTCATGTACGTCTTGTAAATTAACACCAACGTGTTTGTTTTTAACAGTACCGAGAATAAATTTCTTGGCTGGCTTTTATCAGCGGAATATTTATCGTCCACAAGTAAAATACCTCATACTTTAATTTGATATAAATTCTTAATAAACTCTAAAAGAAAAATCATTTTTGTGCATTTTAACATACATGCAATTTACATACAAAAATTTACAACCCATTTACTGCAGAATATGATTGTTGCTACATTATTTACTTGAAAATAAAATTTAATATTGTAAAAGTAAAATTTCTTTATCAACACGATTTTGTTACTGCAGTTGAATACTTATAAGTAGAATATTTATGTATAATACATAACATATTGTACATATATTTATAAAGTAAGCCAATCAAATATGTGTCAATACTTTTGCGATTGCTTCGTATTGCATGTTTTTTCAACAGTAGACAATAGACAATAACCCTTATTCAAGCAGGTGAATGATACGTGCTTTCCATATCAAATTGCTTCTAATTTATATTTAATTGAATTGCAATGAACTCTTATAAGTATTCAAATTACTCAAATTAAACATTTTTAAATACATACTTTATTATTTTAGACATTAGATTTTAAAAGTTCTAATCGATAATTATTTTATTACATAATTGTTTAAAAAATTGTCATAATATTATTGTGTAATAACTTAAATGAAAATAAATAGTTATTATAGTTAGTATTATAAAATAAATAAATAAATAAATATATATATATATATATAATATATATTAAACTTTTAACATAAAACCGACAACATAAATTTTAACTTTTCCGTCAGCAATAAGAGTTTTTGAGAAATAGTAAAATTTTTTTATTATTTCGGATATAAAACTAAAGAAATTCTGTATTTGTCAAAACAACGAGTTTTTATCATCTTGAAAGCCGAACTGTATTATATTTTTTTTTACAAATTTAAATTTAACTACCAAAGAATTATTAGTGTTTTTAAAGTTTTTAGTTGCTGCTGAGAGTTAGTTAGAGTTTTTTTATACCTTTTTTATGTAATGAAAGATAGGAGATAAAAATAATAAAAATACTATTATAACTCTTGAAATCATAATACTTTATTTGGGACACTTTTGATAAATAAAACTAGATCGTGAAAGCTTAAACCATCGTAATTACAATATTGTTTATGTATAAAGTTACGATTAAATATATGACGCGTAATGAAACAATTATTGATAGAAGACAATGTGAATTTTCAAGCGCAGGTGATTTACAGGACATGATTGCAGGTACTTTACAGGAGTCGGTTAGTTACATTGTTTCATGAGTCGATCAGTTGGCGAGAATCATGGATTGTCTCGGTCGGTTTTTCATCTTCAGTTGGATTCTTGATGAGACAGCCAAGCGGTACAAGTTTCACTGGCGACTTCGCAAATCGCTGATAGAGCGCGGCTGGTAACTTCATAATCTGAAAAGAAAAACAATTTATTGATTATTTTTTGGGAAATAAGAAAAAATAATCAGTCTCAATATAAATTGATACAATAAAATTCTGTGAACTGCAGTTATTTGTAAGCGAAAAGTATTTTAAGATCGATAAAATTCTTCGAATAATTTTTAATGTAAAAAGGAATATAAAACCTATCAAATGAAAGTTTGAGGCAATATAGATCTGGGACAGGAAATATAGATCTGATTTAAGTATTTTATATATATAATATGCTATATAATGAAAATATATTAATTGATATTCTAATGTATAAAAAAATGTATAAACATTTAACAAATGGAGTTAGTTTTATCTATTTATGTTAAATATTAAAGTTTAACAAAAATTTATTTCAAGCTTTAAAATTGGACTTTTCTTTATAAAATTAAATTTTGTTATAAATATTTTATAAAGACACTTACCAGTCACAGTGTTAGATCGTTTGCCGAATATGCTACCATTGAAAGGTGGTTTTTTGTAGGCAGCATTTGCACTGATGACGAAAGCTACCATAATAACAGCGAGAGTCAGAATAAGGCGAATGGAAACCATATCGATGCGTTGATTTATTTTCGTCTGAAATAAAAAATGAAGAATTTAGTGAATATTTATAATAACAATTTTTTAATTATTATCTTATTTTATTTACTGTCATAAATAAACCATCAGTTTAATAATTAGAAATAAATAATAATAATAAAAAAGTTTATAATAAATAAAATTCAATGTAGAATGAAAAAAGCTTACTTTTCTTTGAAAAAACGAAAAAAACTTGCGTGATTCTTAGAAGATTCGGACGCTGAATGTTACGAACGACGCAAAGCTGTGAGCTTTTATACTCGGGGAAATGATTTGAAGACAAATGTCTCTATCAAATGCAGTCGACCTACATTATTTGCAAGTAACGTCACAAGTTCGTCCAAGAGGGTATTGATTTATCATAAAGTATCAAAATTCATTCATTTTAATAACTGATGATCAACTATAAAAATAGCACATAAAGTTACGCTATGAAATTGAAGAATTATTGAAAAATCAGAAATACTTTAGTATGTGAAATGATTCAATGAATGAATAGATTTAAGTATTAAGAAAATCTATATACAGAGGAAGAAAATACATAATGTGAAAATAAGAAAGACTATATAAATTTATATTTATTTATAATTATTATAATTAAAAATGACGTTTTCACCTGAATGAACGGGATGTATCCGAGAGATGATGCTTGACTGATGCCTCTTCGATGGTTGAAACGGCTTTTATAAGAAAGTAGACTATGTTCTAGGAATGTAGTGTGTGAAAAAGATAATAAGCTATCAGAAAGTGTAATGTGATTAAAGATCCTGATTGCCTTTTTCTTCAGGGAAATAAAGATGTTTCAGACGTATTACATAGACCATATATCGTGAAAAAACTTAATAAAGTATCATAATTTAAGATTAATATCTACTTTTATTTAACACTACGGTTTTTATTAAACAATTATATTAAAATACTTTATCGTAAAGTATATTATTAACAGAAATTTAAGTTTTATTATTTTATTACTTATGATTTTGGATAATAAAAAGAATAGTTCTTTTATTATTTATAAGAAAATTTAAATAATATGTTTATTAAAAATATTTAAAAAGTAATTTTCTAATAACTAATTTTTTTTAACATCGACATTTAATATGAATATGTTAGTGAAAGGAAATATGAAGAATTGCAAATTGTTGGAACTATTGTTAAAAAAATTATCTTCTAGATATTATCTTCTATGTATATAATTTTAATAAAAAAAATAAAACAAATTATTGATTAATAGAATAGATAGTTGGATAAATAAAATTCTCCCTTCAAAATTTAATGTTTTAAATAATACCAATAAATGGTATTAAAATAGTATTTATATCCATTGTCAATATAACATCTCTTTTCAGAGTTAGTGATCTAATTTGAAAGGACTTACACCTTTCATCACAGATAAGTTATCATCGATGAAGTACTGTTACTTTTCCTAAGTATGATACTCTCATCGCGTCGGTCGATAAAAAGCTTTACTATATTTTTAGCATATGATATAATAATCAAAACTTTCAATATTAATTTTTCAATATTAATGTTTCATTATAAATAAAAAAGATTATTTTTAAGAAGATTATTTTTCAAATTAACATTGTCGCAAATTTGTTATATTATTAGCCATAAGATACTTCAATTTTTGTTAAAAAAGGTAATAATACTAAAATAATAATAATAACAGAATTTTTAAATTTTGTTATAAACAACATATTTATTATTACATAATTAAGTATGTACATTAAACTTTTATGACATATATGCATATAATTAATAATATTGACATGATAAATATAAATATAATTAAAAAGATTGTGTTTTGAAAGGAGTTGAATTATCCGTATAACTCAATGCATGAATATTTTAAGCAGTTACTTTATTTATTAATTTGAAAATCTTTTAAGACGTTTCGTTTGTATATATCACATGTTAGTTACAAAAAGTGATTGTTGCAGATTATATAATTATAATATATATGGATAAAAATATGAGAGAAGGTTAATGTGACAACATTGTATTTTTTTTTTATGTTACTATAATATACATGCAATAGAGTAATAATAGACTAATATGAATATTTATATAAATATAATTAATATGCGTATATATACAATTAATTATATAAATAATTACATATACATTATAGTATAAGATGATCGATTATTAGAGCCAAATTTAATCACGCTCTTGATGATCAATCGATTTTTCAGTATTATTATATGTACATAATTAAATTACAATTATAACATTCTTCTTAGACATTCAACAAATAACATTCTATTTAATCATTATTCTCGTTCTCTTCTGTCTGTTGCTATTAAAAAATTCTCAGAGCTAAAATATGCATGTCTTTATCGATTGAAAACCGAGAGCGCGATACGATTTAAAATACATCGTATAGGCATATTAGGGTCTACGTCTTATTGTCGCGTCACAACTTTTTCTTCTTAATTTGGCACGATAAACAAACACGCCGTCGATTACTCGCTGTACTATCAATACAAATAATTATTTATTTTACAAAGTTAATAGTTTTCCAATTGGAAGTCACACAGTCGATGACGATCGACGACGTATTGATGCCGGCCAAGACTTATCGCACTAAACAACGAGTAAATTATCTGCGCTTTATCAGTAAATAATCTGCGCCTTATACTTATCGTTTAAGTAATATCATACAAAGCCGTTGCCAAGAAACAGTAATTTAACTACAAAGTGTGGAAGACGTGGATTTTGTTTCGCTTGCTTATTTACATTGTATATATTCTATCGTTGTATAAAAATTATTAATTGCTTTATGTAAACTATAATTAGCGCGAGAATGCACGTGCATATCATGCGCGCATATAAATAGAATTTATTGCATAATACACATATCACACATCGATGTCCTGCTCACACGTCGCAAGCTTTTTGACTGAAATGTTTATTATGTCTTAACATAGATGTATATATAGATATAATTAATTTACTTTAATGAAAAATAGCAAATTTTAAACACGTAATTATTAAATTTGAAATAATTAACTTCATGAAATTCTTATTATTTCTTACTGTTTAGTAAAGATTATTTATCAGGGAACAAGTATCCATCTTCCATTTATAATTATCGAATAGGAAAAGATTATTTGTTATTAGGATATTTTTATAAGACAATTAATATATGAGAAACATAAAAGATATACAGAAATATTTTTATTTAAGTTATGTATGGTACTCAGTAAGATAAAAAGGCAATGTCTACGATATATTATAGAATATGATATTGTAAAAACGTAATAATAATATCTATTAGGATACATTATTAGTTTTTAATTTTTAGTTGTTTCTTAACGTGTTGTAATAGTAATTAAATCGAATGAAATGTACACTTTCATTTAGTGATCGTGTTTCATTGCACTAGATTCTTTTGGAAAATTACATATTATCTGAAATACTTAGAAGGATTGTGTATCAATTAAATCATGAAATCGATGAAAATTCCAGCGTCGTATTTTCTGAATCAAAATAGAAAATGTAATGTAACCCCGTGTGAACTGGACCTGTGTAGAACTGTCTTAGGCCTAAAGCGATTACAATATTAAACATTAAGTGAAAAATCTTATCATTTATATTAATCATTAACTTAGTGATTATATTATTTTACACATATTATATTAATACATGCCAAGTTTGTCACTAACTTTCTCAGTTCTTCTGTAATAATTTATTTTATTTTTATATTTTTCAACTTTTTATACAGACTGTATAAAAATGAGAGTAAAAATCGACAACTAAATATAAATATGTGTAAAAATATAATTACATATAAAAATAGAAGAATACAAAAGTATATATAAAAATATATTAAAAATATATTAAAAATATATTAAAAATATAAAAAGATACAATTTTATTTATAAATGGAACATTATGTGGAATAACAAATTAATATTTTTATATAGCTTGAATTATTAGTCTAACAATAACATTATGTAATTTTTAGAATTACGCATGTAATAATGTATTACAATATCAAATTTTTTAGTTATCTAAAAAAAAAATTTGTTAATTTCTCTTACGTACAATTATTATTATACGTTAAATAAAAATTAATTTGAATAACAAAATTGGAAAGAAAATCATATGCTTCAGATTACTTCTATTTTATGCCTCCCCGATTACGATGAAAAACACTTTTGCGTAATAAATTAATTATAAACTGACAATCTATGCAAGATATGAAAATTCGTGGTCTTCACGCAAACTCTTTCTCCTGTCTATTATTTTTGTCTATATATATTTTATAATTGTTCAGCTTTTTAACTCATTTAACATTGACAGACTTTTTATAAAAGTCCGTCGCACGTTTCTGCATGACAATTTGAATTGTTTTCACTATGTTCACCTAATGTTGGGTTGTCCTGCTCCTGGTGCGAGGAACCTTCGGCAGTCTGCTCTCTGAACAAGTCTAGATTTTCGAAAAATGGCGAATTATGTTTCTCCTGATGTCGTGGTACCGACTTTATGTTTTCATCCTTCTGTATATCTCCAACCACAGTGTCGTCATAGTCGAATTCATCTATCTCACGCTCTTCGATATTTCGTTTTGTTCGTTCGGGTGAGTCATCTGAGTTTGAACTCTCTGGGTTTAAACATTTTGTGTACAACTCTCCATGTAATATGTTGACGTCTTTGAACAGTTCTTGATGGATCTCGCATAGGATGATTACGTCGAGAGGTGACTTGAGAATCGTAGTCATGATATCGCTCGCCAACTCCTTTACCAAAAAGCTGAGCCGCCAAGTTTCGTGAAGGCGCATAGTGTTCGGACTCAAGGGTGTTAAAGCATCACAATAACATCCTATACTTGCTTGAAGGGATGATCTCAGAGCAAAACAGTTGACTTCCGACGCGATTGATAGTTCGTAAGAGCACAGTTTCAAACAGTGGCTCATAATAGCAAACGTCTGGTGCTCGTCGCTGAGGGACTGGAGCTTGCAGTTTACCTTGGGATATCGGGGAAATAGGCGCACATCCCTCTCTCGCTCGGACTCAGTCTCTGCCCCGGGATTGCAGAGCAGGGCGCAAGCGTCGACCGTGAGAGGCCTTGGTATGCTCGTAGCGCGGCCCACCAACGCCAACACCAACAGGAATATCCAACAGAACGTAGGCGTCATCTGAAAATGATGGCTAATCAATATTCTGAAGGGGATGCGGCTCCGCGTTCCGATACCGGCTTATTGGAAGGGATGTATGGTTAAGGAGGAATTCCAGGAGTCTGACCGCGCTCTCGCATGTATATATTCCAGAGAGTCAGAATAGGATTTCGGTAGCCGCTATGTATATTGGATAAACGAGGATAGAGATGAGCTTAATAATTGTGGCATTTTAGATAATATAATTAACGTTATTAGATGAATGTCGCGGGTATTGAATAATGCGATTTTAGCGTCGTATTACTTTAAGAATTTATCATTTTGATTTTGAAAATCCGACAAATCATGACAATAAGTTTAATTTAATTGGAAAATTTAAATTATTATAAAGAATATCTTTGAAATAGAATAAAATTTAATAGCATATATTCTACTTACTTTTAATGTGGAAAAAATCAAATTTCCGAAATACTTCCTCCAAAACTTCCTTTAACAGAGTTTTATTAAAACGTTCAGAAATAAAAATCTGCTGTTGAAACGAATATTGATGTTCCTTTCAGTTTAAAGAATCCGTTGAAAGTGACTTTCAGAAGAAGTACACACATCGACGTTCAAAATAGAAATATCTATTACAGCGCACAACTCTGATGGTTTTATAGTTTCATTTCAAGCAGGGCCGATCTTAGCATAAGTAGAACCTAGTGCAAATAGATATTCTTTTTAAATACAGTATCAATATTTTCTAACTAGCAAAAAATAAGAGAAAAAAATTACAAGTATAATGTCAGGAAAGAATGATCTAGATATTTATAAAGTAATAAAAATAATATTATTTTGAGATATATTTTATATTACTAAAAGATTTCTTCTGTCTATATTTATATAAAAAAATAAAGTTCTATTTAAAATAAAAGCATTATTTCGAATAACTTTTTAAAAAATTTTCAATATAGTATTTCAATATAGTATTTCATTTCTTCCGTAATTACGCTGTTAATTACGCTTATATCTTCAATAACATAATTTATAGAAAATCTTTAAAAATTAAATTATAAATAATTATTAGATTATATGATAAAATCGCAGAATTAATAATATTTTTTAAAATAATACGAGTGACGTAGTTTTTTTCAGTTCTAAAAAAATTTCAGATTGGCATTCTGAACTTGGTGCCTCAAATTCAGTTCTCAGAAAGATTATTCGTACAGATTAAAAGTCTTTTAGGATATATTTAATCACAACAAACTGCTCGATTACAAAAAAATGTATAAATAATGTATGTATCAAGATATCATAGCGAGCTAAACAAGATCAGAACATGATCGTTGATGCGTGAATATTTTACAGTTTAAATTAGAATTATAAGAACGTTCAAATTATTTATCATGAATGATTTTTTAGATAATAGTTGCAAATGATGCCAAACATTCTAATCTGTTTTAAATATTCTTTTTAATTTGAACTACGAAATTACAAAAATACATTCTAAAAAAAATCCTATCATTATTTTTAGAAAGTATAATACTAAATGAGATTTAAAAAAAAAGCATTAAATTAAGAAATATTTATTAGCTAATTTTGTGCTACAAATATGTTTTTATTTCGTGATGGCTTGAAATAGTCGTTGTAATTTTTTTATATAAAAAAAATAGTAATATTTATATATTTTAACTAATTTTTTAGCTATCATCAACAAAACATTAATGTTAGCATATAACGAAACGTTAATTTGGAGCTGGATATATATTTGAAAAATAGTATTTGTAAGACAATTGCATTTTGTATTTTCTATTTGGAGCATATAAAAATTTGTATTTTATATTTCAAATAGTAAGATTAACAATCAACTTATTATTTGAATTACAAAATACAAAATACTTTTAATCTTTCAATTTTAAATACAAAATACGTAATACTTTTATGCGCTTCGCTGAAATATAAAATACAAAACACATTTGTATTGCAAATACTGTGTTTTAAATAAAAGTATTTCAAATATATGATGCCTAGCCCTGAATGTATTTAAATGCTTAAGATCATGAAATGTTCCTGGTCTTCTTTATAAGAAAGTTCTTCTTTATAAGAAAGTTAACTATCCGCCTATTGAAGAATTATAAAAAATAACAAGATGTAACCAAAAATATCTTAATAAACGTACATTACTATAACGTTTTACTAATTATGATTAAAAAGTTATCCGGAGCATGTGCATATTTTAATGTAAACGTCTAAATACGATAGATTTTTTTATAAGTAATGCGCACAATTTACAGCTAATTCCCAATTGCTCTTTTTATTTCGTAATATAATTATTCTTTTTGGAATTTTGTTAAATGTTATTAACATTTGAATGATATCCATATATGTCAAACACTACTAATAGCAAAACTCTCTAACGTGAATACAAATGTTTATAACTTCAGAAAAAATCCAAAAAAGAAATGTAGTTAAATTAATCAGTGAATTATTAAAATAATTAATAATTATTTTAACTGAATAAATTATTGTCACTTACACGCACGTATAAATGTATCTCTGTATATTTTATTCTATAAAGCGAGTTTAAATTAAATAAAGTTTAAATTAATAAAATAAATTATTGAAAATATATTAGATAAAAATTTTACATGTGTGTGTGTGTGTGTGTGTGTGTGTGTGTGTGTATTTCAGATTTCAAATAATTTTAAAAATGATTTGTGAATTTTATTCTAATGGTATCGTAATTTGTTACATTGCACAATAAATTTTTATAACATACTATAAATTACAAAGTTAATTTATTTTAATTTAAACATATATTTCATAATAACAAAACATTCTGGCAAATTTCGATTTAAAATTAAAATTAAACGAGATTAAATTTATTGATTCTATTATCAGTTAAATTGTTTAAGTTTGCATATATAAAGTATAAATATATATATTATGATGATGGCAGTCTGTAATAAAATAATACAACTAATTTATAAAAAATTACATCTATTTACATTTAATTATATTCAATTATTATACATCATTTTATAATAAAATTGAGATTTTAATAAATAATCAAATTTCTATGTACAAATGTATTAATATAAATCTATTTAAAAAATTAAAAATTAGCTTACTTATAAAGGATTTAATTTATCAATTTCTCTCCGTTATATTTAAATTTATATTTCAAATTTATATTTTAAATACAATAAAAAATTTAGACGCTATTAATGTGATAGTCTAAATATTTACAAATATGTTTTATATTACCATAAAACAAACAAAAGTTGTAGAATTTCGTAAGAATTATTCCTAATTTTCATTGCTTCTAAAAATTATTTATTATTATATCATAATAAATTATATGATTTATTATTCTGATTTTATTATTATTATGATTCTTGTTACTTTTTAAAATTTTAAATTGCGTAATTGTACAAATTTCAAAAATAAATAAAAAATTACATCTCTAAGTTTAATATTTTCATTTTTTAAAGCTACTAGATTTAAAAATTTACATAATTTAACAGATAAAACGTAAAATAATTAAAATTGTAGCTTTAAGAACAAAGACGAGATATAAATATTTTGCCAAATAATAAAAATAAGTAAGTTTAATGAAATAAACGAATTATGTTTTTTAAATAAGCAGAAAAAATATTCTATTATATATTCTATTATATATATTCTATTATCAATAAAATATAGAGATACAATATCATCAAAAATCATATATTGATTTTTATGGCATCATTGAAATAATAAATCGAGAATAGATAAATTATTAAAAGTAGACAGTTTTTACATTTGAATCAGATAAATTAATCTCCACTTGCTCTCCACTTGCGTTTGATTTTTTTTCAGATAAATTAAGTGATATAAATTTTTTAGTAAGAAGTAACTGAGAAAAAAGATTGTATGTTCACACAATTAAAAGATTGTAAACAATATTATATTTTATAAAAAATTTTATTTTATGTTTCCAGTTCTTTATTTTATTCTTTGCCTTTTATATTTAATATATCTACAAAAAAATTTTTGTGTTTGACGATGTCAATAAATTTGTAAATAAATAAATTGTGAAAGTAAATGCGCGTACAAATGTGTTGTGCATCATGAAATTCACATGTAAAAAATAATGCAAAAAGAAGCATAAATAGTTATTAATTATATCATAGCAATTTAACTTTTGGCAAGAAATAAATTTTACAGAAATTGTCAATGATTAATTATCGAAGGATTGGAATTTTCTAAAAACCCAATAAAAATGTATTTATGAAACGTTTAACAAAATATGTTACATTTAATATAATAAATCTCTACAGAAGAGATAAAGGAAAAACGAGACAGAGATATCATAGTAAATTATTGTTATATAACAAATTTTTAATTGTATAATATGTTTAGACAAATCCTTTTCCGAACATAATACGGAATGTCAATTCGATTTTAGTTTCTCAAGAGATGAAGAATGGAAAAATTGTCAGAGCATTTTTGTGGTTGCTCTCTTTTAAGGATGAAAAGTGGATGTGGGATCGATGCTGTCCGACTATACGTTCCATTAAATTGGCGACCTACTCCTTTCCGTGCCACACACAACCATAGTGTGAAACAACTTGGATCCTCTCTTTAAAACAGTCACTTCGAGTTGATAGTTGCTGCTTGTAGAAACTTCATGCTAAAGCTTTTCAAGCGGTGATAATGCTCCTTCTTGTTGATACATCATGACAACCGAGCTAGTGAACAACGACATTGTTTCAGGCATAACTACTGTCTTCCATTACGGCTGTAGGAATTCATATATACATGATTATTTAATTGAAATCCGATTTAATAATGATAATGTTATGGTTTAGCAAGATTAATTTTATAAGTATTACAATCTTCAAATGATAACATAATTAGTCAGATCAAATTTAACGAATTAGATTTTAATTGAATTATTTGTTTGTTAAAGAACTTAAAAGATTGAAAATAATGTTATTTTAAATTATAATAAATTATAAAGATAAATGGAATGAAATTATTATTGGAATTAATTCGGG